AACATTTCAATGGCATGCTTCAAGGAAAAAGAGCAAAGATTACTGAAACTTTTACAGAACCACAAAAGATCCCAAAGAGCCAAAGCAATATTCTGGTTACTCTCCACATTGTATAAATCTTTTCACCTTTTACAAAATGGTCAAAGCAATCTTAACAAAGTAAGAACAACAGAGGTGTCATACTTCTAGACTTCAAACTGTACTGCACAGCTTCAGTAGCCCAAATACTATGGTATGAGGATAAAAACAGACACCCATACCAGTAGAACAAATTGAGAGCTCAGAGATAAACTACCCTAACATGGACAGATGTGGTTACTTTACCACAAGAGAGACAATATACAATACATAGTGGAGAAAAGAAAGTCTCTTGGTGTTGGGAAAACTGCAAGTCATGTGCAAAAAAAAAATCTGGGTCCTTATCCCAATATACACAAAAATGAACTCAAAATGGATTTTTTGGATGTAAAACCTGAAGCCATAAAATACATACAAGAAAATATTGGCAAACTAATTCGCAGTAGTGACTTCAGGGATGTCTTTGGAAACTTGACTCCAGTGACGAAGACTACATCAAACAAAGGATTCTGTACGGTAAAAGAAACAATAATTAAAATGAAAAGACACCTTGCTGAATAGGAGAAAATATTTGCTAATCATATATGTTACAAGGAACTAATATCCAAGATCTATAAAAAACTCATAAACTCAACAAAAAGATACAAAACCCAATCAAAAACTGAGCTGAAGAACTAAATAGACACTTTTCCAAAAGAAGACATACTTGTGGCTAACAGTCTATGAGGATGGTCCATATCAGAAAGACCAAAAGCAGGTGTTGGCAAGGGTGTAGAGAAAAAGGAACCCTCATACACTGTTGGTGGGCATATAGACTCATCTGACCTCCATGGAAAACAGTATTGAAGTTTCTTAAAATATTAAAAATTGATCTACCATGTGATCCAGCAATTCTACCCCTAGTTACCTACGCAGAAATGCATATAATTTGAAGGAATATACACACTCCTTTGTTCACTGCAGTACTATTTACAATCATCAAATTGTAGGCACAGTGTAAGTGGCCAGTGACAGATGAGTGGATTAAAAGATGTGGTACATATACACAATGGAATATTACTCTGTACAAAAAAGGTGAAAACTTGCCATTTCCAACAACATGGATGAAATTGGAAGGTATTATGCTAAGCAAAGTCAATCAGAGGAAAAAAGACAAGTAACAGATGACTTCCTTCATATGTGGAGCATAAAGAAACAAATCAAAGGGACAGACAAAACTAAATCAAAACAAATCCTAGAAACATGACTGTAGAATTAAGGCTACCAGAGGGGAGGGAGGGAAGACTGGTATGTCCCTCTCCTGGGGAGAGGGCCCGAGAGACTGAGGGAAGATTATGGGTGCTTTGGTGCTGGGCATGGTGTGGAAACATACATCTGAAGTGGTGTGAATCGGTACCCCCTGCCTCATATACTTCAGTTAGAAAAAATAGAATTAAAAAAAAAAAACTTTACATTCTTTTTGTGAAAAGAAAAACCTAATTATGAATAACTGTGGACATCGACAGTGGACACAGGAGAATGGAGATGAATAAGGCTTTGCTCCACTGCGGTGTGACATTCACTGGTTTGTCACCTTACCAGACTTTCCTTTTCCTTCCTGTCTTTGGCCACTTAGTAGAGCGACTGTTGCACAAAGATGGAACCAGATTTCCTGGAATTTGCTCACCATGTACTACTTGTATGATTTTTAAGTAAACTGATTAACTTCTCTGTATGTCAGTTTACATATCTATAAAATAGTGATGATATGTAACTCATAGAGTTGTTGTTAGATTAAAGGAGATGCTTACCATACTTCAAGGTCATTCCTGGCAAAATATAAACAAAAACTTTAATTGGTTAGAGTTATCATCTCTCCCTGTAGTTATTCACTAAAGAGTTAGGCTTCTCTGTCTGGTCCAGTTAGTCCCTCTGTTAACAGCCATCTTAGGATACTTTTTGCCGGAAGGATCAAGAGCTGGGAGTCCAGGTGGAATGATTCATTTGGTGTGTGTCACATAGCGTCAAGGATACAGTTTCTTTTCTCTTTGTCAGCAGGATGTTGCCAGAGTCCAGGGACCTTCTGCGCCCTAGACCACCTGCAGCAGGAGATAATGACTACTTTTTTTCCCTAATGACTTTCTTTTAATACGGTGGCAAGCCTTTTTTGAGGCCGCTTGCCCTGCTGTGTCTCATTTCTCACTGCGGTGATGGAATCACCTGTCCGCAGGCCACCACACAGGTCTCGAAAAACAGTTACCGTGGCTGGCTGAGCTGTTAGTCTCAGGTCGCAAGCTCAGGGGTGGATGTCTTCACTGGCCGCAGCCTCAGAAGGCAGATGCTGAAAGAAAGTTGCGCTGGGTTGGTGAGGTGGGAGATGGGAAGGCGTGGCTAGGTAGCCAGTGGGGGGTGCCCGGCCTTTTTCCCCAGTGCACCTTTCCCTTTAACCCCAAGTGAGGATTACTGGGCTTTGTATGAATCCTCCAGCAGCCGGCAGGCTCAGTGGAAACGACTTGTCAAAACTCTCGGAAGTGGGTGTGTTTATCGCTGTTTCGTTGGTGTCTTTAAGAATCTCAGGCTTAGGTTTTCCTCTTTCCCAAAATGAAGGAAGTCACGTGGCTCATTAAAACTTAAAACTTGAGGGCGTCCCTGGTGGCTCAGTGGGCTGGGGTTGGGGCGCAGCGCTGCAAGCTGGCTGGCCTGGCTCTTACGAAAGGCGGTTTTCTGTGTGGTTGGTCTTTTCCCTTAATACTCGGACTAAGTCGGCGCTGGGTGCTGCGGAGGAGTCCAGGTACCCAGCTGGTTGAACCTTTTCTGAGCCGCAGAAGAACCGCACAGCTGTCATGCAGATAGAAGAGACACACCTATTTGCAGCCAAGATCCACCCTGGAAAAAGAAGCAACTAGCGGCTTTTCCCTTTTCTCCTACCACTTGCTTTTCCCCCCTCGGCTTTATTACTGCAATGGACATACAGCGCTGTATAAGCTTAAGATGTGTGACAAAACAATACATTGTGAAATGGTCGCCATGGTAAGGTCAGTTAACATACATCTCAGAATTAAAAACACGATTTTTGATCCTCATGATGAGAACTTAAGGACCTGCCCCCCTGGCCACTGTGGGGGTACCCGGTGTCCACATCCTCACCGTGTGCTCGACGCCCCACAGCCTCCCCTTTGAGCTTTTGACATCTTCACCCAGGTCCCCAACCCCTTCTTGCTGTTTTTGACGCAGAAATTTTCTTGAGGCTATTTAAGCCTGAAAAAGCGATTAAAGGTTTGTCACTTGGTAAAAGGAGTAAACTTCATTTTGTGTGAGTCTCAGCAGATGTAGGTTAAGGTGAACCAGCTGTCTGTGTTGCAGAGAGCAACTGTATATAAAGCACTTGCAAGAAATACTGAGGCGATAAAATCCCGCAGCTTCTCTGGGCGGGGTGTGCAGGCCCTCTGAGGAGCTGAAGAAATGAGCTCTTTGGGGGCGGAGGGAGTGGTTAGGCCGTATCTGAGAACCTTCCAGTTCTTTCATGTTTCCTCAGTGCTGAGTTTTGCTCACTTCAAACTGAAGAGAAAGAAGGACTTGATTGCCCAAAGGGAGAGGGGTATAAACGCAGCTGCCCTTAACCAGTGACCCCCAAGCTCTGTGGGCTGTAACTTTGTGTTTAGAATTCTGTAGGTACTGAGTCAGCTAATAGAAAGTAGAACGTTGGCTCTTTTCCTTGGGAGTTCCGGTATGTCCCATCTTTAATTCAGCCCTGTGACTGGGCGCATGGAAGAGATTTGTGTGGCCCCTCAGACTGTCTGCACCATGGCTTGGTCGCCCTCACGAGATGATGAAGCAGTGATCTTGTAGTGTTTAACTTAATACCGGGATGAGGCTGCCTGTGCTTCTCAGGGCGCCTGCTGGGTCTTATCTTTTAAACTGATTTAAAGAAGAAAATGTTCGGTGCAACAATTCCCCCCTTCAAGCCTCGCTGTTCCGGCATCTGCAGAGCACATGGGTCTTGGTCTCTGAGTGTGTGCTCGGAGGTCGCGTCGACTTCGTGGCCACAGTTCTCAGGCAGAGCCAGTCAGGGATACGGAGGCATCGCCCTGTGCTCTGGTTCATAGTCATTGGAGACGCAGAGCGCATGAGCCCCACAGGAAATAGCAAACAAAGGTTCTTTTCTTGCAGGGGAAGACCCGTCTTTCTGCAGCAGCATCAATGACCGTAAAGTTCTCTTCTGCCCGGCAGCCTGCTTAAGATAAAGAATGTTAAATTCTTTAACCATTATCTGAGTTTGCTGCTTTTTGATGGTGGAGATACTCAGAGTTGGTAACAGTGTGGTAGCTGTGGAAGTTCTCCCTTGGGAAAGGAGAGTGATCGTCTCTGGTGGCCAGTAGAACTTTACACTGTCTTCTTTCTGGAGAGCCTAGCGGGTTCACTACATGGAGTAACTGTCTTCAAACTGAAAATGTGAGCGCATTTCTGAAGGGAAGGCAAAGTACCCAAGGGGACTCAGGCTGCCTTGTGTTACAACTGAATCCTGGTAAATCTTCAAATCATTATTTTGAGTAAGAGTCCAGATAATATATGATACAAACATCAAGGCAATTCAGACTGACCTGTAGCCAGAAAGGAGCTCAGTGGCTGGCTGGAGTCGGCAGGGAGGAGAGGCGAGGCGGAGAAAGGAGTGGGAGAGCGCTCCGACGGCTTAGTCCTTTGCGGTGGTGGCGGTGCCCCAGACTCGGGCACGTCGCAGCCCGTCACAGCACGCATTTTATTGTATGTCGGTTTTATCTCAGTAGAGCTCAAAAAAGTAAAGAAATGAATTCAGGAGCAGCATTTAACCAAGTCCCTTTGCTGGGCTCCAGGGGGCCTGCTGAAGACTCGCCCGTGGGGTGAAAGTCTTGCATGTAAGTTAATGCGGACACACGTCTCCTCTTAACGCATTGATGTTTCTTTAGGAGTCCATAGAGGCTACTGCATTTTACTGAAGATGTCTAACAGTAACACTACCCAAGAGACCCTGGAAATAATGAAGGAATCGGAAAAAAAGCTGGTGGAAGAATCCGTAAACAAAAACAAATTCATATCGAAGACTCCAAGCAAGGAAGAAATCGAGAAAGAGAGCGAAGAGACCAGCGTGCGCCAGGAGACGCAGGTAAGAACTGGAAGTGTGTGTGCGTCGCTCTCCATGCCTGAGAAGAAGCGTGGCTGCAGGTGGAAACGGAATCCATAGGAAGCCGGGTGCTCAACCAACACTTGATGCTCCCTGGAAGCCCAGCTTCTGCACTCAAGAAGTCCCTCCTTCCCTTTTCCCCGTAGAATCCACAATAAAGTGTAAAGAAAGCAGTGAGATTCCTAATCCATGTGAACCTCAGGTGTACTTGTTCTTGGTACACTGTAATGCTTTCAACTATCAAGAAATAAACTGTACACATGCATATAGTTAACAAGTCATAATGTGCCGCATGCAGTAAACTTAAAAGGAGAGCTGCCTGACTTTACACACAGCGCAAGCTGTGTCAAAGCGTCAGCGTTTTCTGTCAGAAATCGCCTCTGAGCTTGCCACCAGTAAATACAGTGCAGGAATCTCACTCTTGGTCGCGCCTGCCCATCCAGATGCACCTGCAGCGCGGCCCGGGCTGACTGGGCGTCAGGGCTCCTTCTCGGGTCTCAGCCAGCACAGGCCCAGCTACCTCAGCTTCCCTGCTCACTCTTGTCCGTGGCCACCGCTGGTTTCCTTGTTAGCCAAGGCCAGGTTGCACGCATCCTCTTCCTGCCCCCGGGAGCGTGGTCTCTGTTACAAACCTAGGGGGGAGACTGCTTATCAAGCAGTCAGTTTAAAACTGGTAGTGACCACGTTCTCGAGGGTCGGGAGACTTGACAACCCAGTTTGCCTAGGCCTTGTCTTCTTTAAGGATTAGAACAGCAGCAACATAAAGGGATGAGTTAAAATCAGACAGCTCTTTGAGATGGTTTGCTTTCTCCCTGCCTGCTTTTCTGCTGTCTTTCCTCTCACAGTTTGCCAGTATCTGCCCTGGCTGCTTTCCTTTCCATTATCTTTTGCATGTGAGTTGTTTCCTGCCTGTGCTCCCAGAATTCACGGGGACCGTCTGCCCCGTTCCCGCTACCCTCCAGCCTCCACTGACACCAACAATGAACTTTTAAGTCCCCAGGACAGAGAGGAATGAATGTGTGATTACGTGCTGCCATGTGACATGGACGATAATAGTTAAGCAAACTTTTGTGTCCAAGTTACTCTGCTCTCTGGAGACGATTTCCAATTGTGTTTGAACTCCTGCTGTGTGTGTTTCTTGAAAACAGGTACAAAAGAAAGGATGTCTGCAGGTTTTGTGTACTTTGCAGACACTAAGGAATTTGAAAATACCTTCCCCTGAATACAGAGTGTCTGTGGAGGAGCCTGGAGGGCCGCCGTCCCCGGCCGCCGCTGCCGCCATCTGCTGGGCTCCTGGGGCCAGTGCGTCTCTCCGCCTCCTTGCGCTGAGATTTCCAACAGTCTGTGCCCCTTGAGCAGCACTAAGCATTTTGCTCTTTCTCCGGCCTCCCCCACTTCGTGCCCAAGCCTGTGCATCTAGCCAAGGCCTCCTGGCGCTTCCCGGAAGTGCCTGTTCGGGATTGGCGCTGGGGAGTTTGTGGGACGGGAAATCCCGTTCCTGGTGTTGACACCCACGAGGCCTCCTTGGAGTCAGCAGCTGGAACTCAGGGCATCTTTGCCCACAACGGTGCAGGCGGGCCCTGAGGGTCCCTTCAGAATGGGTGAGCCCTGCCCGAATGTAGATGGCCCTGTGAGTGGCCAGCTGGGCGTGGCCGTCTCACACGTTGTCCCTTGAATTCGCGGTCCTTTCTGGCTGCCGCTCTGTTTTCGGAAGGTGGCTGCAAACTAAAGATTTGATCTCGTGTGGATGGTCTTCCACTCAGTGTGTGTCTTGTGCCCGAGGCTGCCCTGGTCCCTGCCTGCCAGCATGTGCCTCTGGCGTTCTGGGTGCTGGCATTATCTGATGTCCATCCCCACTAGAAATGGAAGCTGAAGGGTTGGGGAACACGTGCCGTGTGCGAGCGCTCTGCCTGCACCTCTCTTGGTATTCTCCCCTTAGCCCGCACTAACCCTTAAGACCCCACCAGCATCGTCTGAAACCTCTCCGTCCTTCAGAACTCCAGGAACACTTCTCCAGGACCTTCCCTGACAGACGTAGCCTCTGTAGAATTCTTCAATTGAGGTCTGTCTCCCTCACAGAGCTGCAAGCTCCATGAGGCCTAAGATTAGGTCGCGTTGGACTCCCGTTCTGTTTCTGAGGCCAGTCGAGTTCCTGCAGGCGCTCCGTGGCGGTGAGCGCATGAGTCACGAGCTGCTGGCCCTCAAGCAGACAGCCCCGACGGCGTCAGTAATGCACCCACCGCTGTGTGGCTGCTGTCTGCTTGTCTTCTTGCACAGGATTGTGGGTCCCTTCCAGACAAGGTGTGTGCCTTTCTGTTTCTTCTGGCAGTTGGCAAGGTTGCTGGTACAAAGTGGGCTTTCTGTGTGTGCTCACTGCTAAGGAAAGCGACCCACTCTGGGAAAGAAACAGATTCCTGCATACTTACAGGCTTATAAATGGGCATAACACCCGGGACCAATTTTATAAGCCAGGCAGTCGTTTATAAAATTTGCATGAACTACAGTTACACTCTTTATGCTCAGTGACATGGTCTTTGCAGCACTGTTTATACTGACAGGAAGATCAGAAACCCCCTCAACGGTGCGCTGTAAGACTGGGAGATAAGTTACAGTTTGGCAAGCCAGCGTTACCTTAAGAAAAAGAAAAAGAAAAAGAAGAAAAAGAAGAAGAAAAGCAGCCGTCCCAAGACTGCCCATCTGTGTGCAGGTTTCTCTCTGTCCCCTTTGCCTAGTAAACCTGCCCTTTAACATGTAGAGAATGAGGAGAGCCAGCAGCGCTCTCTGAAGGAGGAGGGAGGGTGGGCGGGGCGGGAAGGAAGCGAGGAGATCCGAGAGCTAGTTGTTTTCGAGTTGGGTTACAGCCGCTGAATGCAATACTCTTGCCACTTAGAAAAGCAGCGCTTTCTATAGAAGAAAAAAACCTTCTGCAGAATGAGGTCCAGTATGTCTGACACACGTCTGTTTGATTTTTAAAGCCCGTGTGTGTGTCCACAAGTGCAGTAAGTTTATATGACCACACAGAATGTCGAGTGGATCTCAAGACTCCAGTGCTAGCTGACACCTTAGGAAGAAGCCAGGCGGCAAGGAGCGCGGGAGGAGACCTGCCTCCTGCATGGCTCCCTGTTTGCGCCAGGCGTTGCTGCCCACCCCGGCCTCGCCTCCGAGTCCTCCCTTGCTGTAGAAGACCTTGCCCGCAGGCCGCGTGTTTCCTGCTCTTCCCAGCTGCCTCTCTGGTTCCCCTGGGCGTCTGGCGCTGTCATCCCCTGCCTGCGCAGGCACTGCAGTAGAGGGAGGCCCTCCCCTCCCTACCCTGTGGGGCGCCCCATCTCGCCTGCCCTCCTGCCCCCCAGCCTCCGTCCTCTCCACATCCCAGTGGCAAAATTCCATTCCAAACATCTCGGGAGCCTTAAGTGCCTCATTCCATGTGTAACCCCACGCAGCCTCTTTCCAGAGCCCCCACTTTTGACTTCTCAGCTGTTCAGAAACCTTTGTCAGTCAACCAGTCATTTTCCTTGTACACCTCAGACCTTTATTCCTCCTCCTCGCTCCAGCCCTGTCCCTCTCTACCTTGCCCCGCTGCTTTGGAGAGCATGCCCTTATCGTCCATGCCCCTTCTCTCTCTGTCCTGTTCCACCTTACCTTCCTGGCCCAAGTAGACTTTGGGGGTGCCGCAGGAACTTGGAACTGGTGGGATTCTCACATTCAGGGTGAGGACCAGAGGGTCTCCTTCCCCTTCCTACCGCCAGAGGGTCAGGGGTGGCTACCTCAAGTCGGAACTCTGAATGCACCCATTATGGATTAAATTAGGCCCCTGTGAGCAAACTGGGGGTGAAAGCAACATCTGTGCTCACGATATTTCCAGAAGCACCCTAATTAGGAGGGGATTCTGCGGCTTTCCAAGTGTAATTTTTACCAATTTGTGAAACAGGCTTGTGTCTCCCTATTCTGTCTTCACGTTAAGTGGGTGTTGTCTGTGGGCCCAGCCCCTGTGAGCCGCAGCTGCTAGGCTGCAGCAGGGGCCCAGCGCGCCTCTCAGCATCGGCTGTGGCAACTTTTTTCTCAGTCCTTTTTTTGTCTGTATTACTGGCGATTTGAATACTGATTTTTCCTGCCTTTAATGTTGTTAATTCCCTTCTAGCAGAGGCGGACGTCCAGCCATAGTCACGCCAGGAAAAGAGCCAAGGTGAGCGCCCACTCTCTTGCTTTGCTTCTGGTGTTTTCAGTCAGGCACTTGGCGGTGGCCTCCCGGGCTGGCCCGTTCCCTGGGTGTGTGCGGGCCGCGGCCTCCCAGCTGTTGCTCGCTGAGGGCACGTGCCCGCGCGGACAAGGACACAGACAGCCACGCGCATGCCCGTTCGGGGCGGGCTGGCTTTCCTGGCTTCGCCCTTCAACGCCGCGGCCCAGCCTCAGTCCGTCGCTGCCCCTGGAGCCATGCGCGAGGCTCACCAGCTCGCCAGCGTCCGGGCGGCATCCACCGGCTTTGCTATAAGGCAGCTCGTCTGCTCCATGCGCGCCTCTGGCTTCCATGGCAGAGCGGCTTTCTTTGAGCCTTAACTCTTGCCCCCCAAATTGCTTTTTACCCCAAAATTTCTTTAAATAAACCCTATCCCATTCATAGAAATGATTTTAACATTTTGTCCATTCTAAAAATAGAGACTTTTTTTAATGTTTCACTTTTTTAGGTTGGGGTAGGGAGGAAAATTTTGTTTTCAATCTTTATATGATAAAATTAGCACACCACATATTATTTGAAGCAGTGCTATCAGAGAAGACTATACGTGTTAGTGTGTGACAGCTTTTTAATTAGCTGGGGGGACAGTCAAACATTAAGCTCTTCTTGCAGTGGGGAGAATTGTCACCAGAAGTAATAATTAAAGGTGTCTTCTCCTTTCCTGAGGAATAATAATGGCAGCTTTTAGTAGTGGTCTGGTCAGTAGGTGACTTGCATTTGAAGAGGCCACACATATAAGCAGACGCTGCGTCTTGCGTTAGGTGACCTAATTCACAGTGGTAGGTTTGATGTGGAATTAAACCAGAAGGTGTTCACTACAACTTCACTTCATCCCAAACTTTTGAAGATAAGTAAAACAGATACATCTCTCTTTGGCAGAAGGAGAAATTTGGTTTCACAAAGGTTGAGTTTGACAGGACATCAGTTGGCCAATGGCAGAGTCAGCCTTGAAGTCAGTTACCTAAATGCCTTTGGGTATTTTTCTCCCAGTTTTATTGAGGAAAGACATGGACCCAGCAAGGGCAGGTCATGTGCGTGGGCTTTCAGAGCTCACAAACACCAAGCCAGGAGAGGCTGGGGCTTCCAGCTCTTTATTTCCGTTGTCTTTCTACTTGGCTCTGCGGCGGTACATTTGCGGGAAACTTCGGAATCTGCAATTGGAGCCCTGAGCTAGAGAAAGAAGAAAGCTAACTGAAGCCGTGTTCTTATCTGTTCTGTGTAGTTATTTCATTTTTCTATGTCTGCTACTAAACAGGAGAAGTGTTTTGAACTAAATGAACTGGGGTGTAGATTGTTTGGGAAAAGCAAAAGCCTATTTAATGACCGCAGCCCTTTAGGTATTTTTACCCTAGTTTTACTGAGGAGAGACATAGACCCAGAGAGGGCAGGTCATGTGCCTGGGCTCTCACCCAGTCAGAGAAAGTGCCCTTCGTTTAGCCGAAAGCTTTCTCATTTTCCAACCAGGGAGAGTCTGTATGTGTATTTGCTTTTATTTTCTTTCAGTCTAATTCCAAGCTGAAGTTGGTACGCAGCCTGGCAGTGTGTGAAGAGTCCTCTGCCCCCTTTACTGACGGGCCACTAGAAACCCAGGTAAGTTCTTGATAACGTAACTTTGCGGCTGGCAGTTGTTTGTAAACAGTAATATAGCAACCACAGCACAAACATTAGGTTTGGAAGTCAGGAGCTTCCAAACAAGTTGTGGCAGGATGTGGAAGTATAGGTCCTCCCCTCCGGCCACCCAGGACGGCGCATGCAAGAGAATCCAGGCCGGGAGCTTGTTTTTCCACCCACGCCTTCCCCTCCAACCATTTTCATCCGTTTCTACGCCAAGAACATTGTATCTCCAGCTCTCCATACAGCAGACTGTGATTACAGACAAAATAGGATCTACTTTGACCCTTTTGCTAGAACAAAGGCTGACAAAATTAAGTTAACAGAGACGTCCTCTTCTGTAAGAGAATGCTGACCCCCTCAGCATCGGCAGCTCTGAGATTCAAAGGGAGCTATAGGAGGCTTTAAATTTTTGTTTCACTTTGATTCTGTTTTCCCCCTTTCCCAGGACATAATTCAGTTGCATATCAGCTGTCCCTCTGACAAGGAGGAAGAAAAGTCCACAAAGGATGTCTCTGAAAAAGAAGACAAGGACAAAAATAAAGAAAAGGTTCCCAGGAAGATGCTGTCTAGAGGTGAGGACTTGCCCTTCTCATCGGGCCTGGCCCTCGCTGGCTCCACAGCCCCTTTCCTCCCGCTCGCTGGCAGTTGGGTATCCTTCTGGGAGGAGCTAGCAGCAGCTCATTTTTCTGCAGCCCTGCTTCACCAGGGGAGCGAGAGCCGCCACACCTGCTGGCTGCCCACAGACGCTGGCTTCTCTGTGGTCCGGGGGAACCCGCAGCCTGGCTCTTCTCTGGAGCAGGTTCTCCAAGTCCAGCTATCTGTTGGTTTTAGGGTGCCTGGCATAAATTAGTCTTTTTTTTTTTTTTTAAGATTTATTTATTTGTGCGTACAGAACTGGGGTACAGGCCAGAGGCTCAGGGGCGGTGAGAGGCTTCACCAGAGACAGAGTGGGGAACAGAACAGGCAGATGGACGAAGTACACTGCTGAGGGGAGCAGCGGGCGGGTCAGGAGAGGTCTGCCACGCCATGTGGTCTCCTCCGGGGCAGGCGGGAATCGAACTCATGCAGAAGCGGCTTTAGATTCTCAGTGCTGTGCTTTAACCCGCTGCGCCACCAGGGAGGGCCAAATTAGTCTTTTTTAAAATAATGCAGTCTGGGCCCTCCCTGGTGGCGCAGCGGGTTAAAGCACTGCACTGAGAAGCTAAAGCCACTTCCACATGAGTTCGATCCCCGCCTGCCCCGGAGGTGACCACATGGCGAGGCAGACCTCTCCTGACCCGCCCGCTGCTCCCCTCAGCAGTGTACTTCGTCGATCTGCCTGTTCTGCTCCCCACTCTGTCTCTGGTGAAGCCTCTCACCGCCCCTGCACCTCTGGCCTGTACCCCAGTTCTGTATGTATAAATAAATAAATCTTTAAAAAAAAAAAAAAATAATGCAGTCTGTGTCTAATCATTAAGCTCTTTTTGGTTTTCAAATCTGGGGCTAGAAGCACAGAGGCATGGGTTGTAAAAATGATAGCTGAGAGGAAAATGCAAACTTGAGATTAAAAATTCGAATGTACAAGGTGAATGATTCACATAATATTTAAACATACATGCTGAGATACTGGAAGATTCTGCACTGGCGGCCCTCTCCTAGAATATACCTTCCTTAACTAGAATAAAGCCTGCTTTGTTGTGACCTGGAGAGTCAGTAAATTCTTATTAGTGATGAGACAGCTTTTCTGTGTGAGACTAATTCAGCACTGTGACCCTGTCATTATCATGGGAAGTTTGGGGGGTGACAAATCATTCTGATTTTCAAGCTAAAACATCTGAAATTTGATTCTGTTTTCCTATTCTCATCTCTCCTAAGCAGGTTGTTGGCTTCTGCTTGGGATCACATATCAGGCAACAGTTTCATTTATTCTAAATTTCTTTTATTGTGGTGGTTCTAGACTCCAGCCAAGAATACACAGACTCCACTGGGATAGACCTACATGAGTTTCTTGTAAATACACTGAAAAAGAATCCAAGGTAATAATCAGAGTTTATGGAAGGGGGGCGGGGCCCCGGGGCAGCAGGATACCCCAGAGCTTGGTAAATTCTGTTCCTGGAATCTGGAAACCTGCCCACACCACCGCTTCCCCCCAGCGAAGTCCGGTACTCTGTGAGAGAGTCTGATACTCTCTCGCTGAGGTTTCCGCTTTCAGAAGAGATGAGGAAAATTCTATGGATGAAGAATGCACAGATGAGATGAAGGCATGGGAGTGCAATTAAAAAGCACAGGAGGAAGAAGACTTGCTCTGTACATACATGCACTAAATCATAATCATGTAAAAATCCTGCCCATAGCCAGATGGAATGGAGAGCCATGATTAGGTCTCTAAGTGCACAGTGTTTTCTACGGATACGATCGCCACCAGCAAGAGTTTTCAGATGTGAAGGCTCAGTACAAGGCCTGCAGGCTATATGCTTGCTTGCTTTTCTTTCTAAAGTGACCCACAGTGCAGGCGGTGGGGCGCAGCAGCCTCAGCATTTTCGGTCCTTTATCGGGGTGTGGTCCCTCCGGTAGTGAGCTCACTGTGTTTCCAGCCCTGGCCTTCAGCGTCTGCGGGAGGGCTGCTTTTTGTTTTTGTTTTTGTTTGCTTTTAATCTTTTCTAAACAGGGACAGAATGATGCTGCTAAAGTTAGAACAGGAGATTCTGGATTTTATTAATGACAACAAGTAAGTTACTTGAATGAAATACACATTTAGAGGTGGGAGGGGGTGGTCAGAAGAAATTTAGGTTCAGTTTCAGTCTCCCCTTTCGTATTTCCTTTGAAGTCTGAGTTCTAAAGGAGTCGCTCTCCTCACCTAAAGGAGTGCGCAGGAGAGCTCTGAAGCCAGAGAGGTTTCCTCCTGTCAACCGGAGTTGCAGGGGCATTTTATCTTTTCAGCAGCTCGACCTTGACTTGCATTTCACCGCTCTCGACTTCCCCCCTTTTTCTTTGCGGAATGTCATCTGGGTGGGTAACACTGAGAGCTTGCGGGCTTTGCTTAATGAGTTCAGTAGGCCATAGGACTCCTGTAAAATACTGTAGACGAGGAGTCCCTATCTTCCTTATGCGGAATTTACTTCTCCTAAGAAACCTCCCCCCCACACACACTTTAGACAGTTATAAAAAAAATTACAATTGGCTGTTTGTTACCCCTGTTGTTTTCTCTTATTTCATTTCTCGCTGGGTTTTCTGTTAGTAACCAGTTCAAGAAGTTCCCGCAGATGACCTCGTACCACCGGATGCTCTTACACCGGGTAGCTGCCTACTTTGGGATGGACCACAATGTCGACCAGACCGGGAAAGCCGTCATCATCAACAAGACCAGTAATACGAGAATGTAAGGGAGGAAACCCCAGATTGGGAAGGCTTTCCCTGGGCAGCTTTGGGTGGCAGAGGGAATTGTGGGATCACAGTGTCTCTTCCTGGGGAGGTGGGCAATGTCGGCAGTGACAGTCTCAGCTCCTGCAGTTTGTGAGGCCTGGCAGACAGATTTTAAAGTCGCCAGTATGTCGTGAAGAAAGGTCCCTGGCCTCTCTTCACCTATAGAACAGCTATAACTTTGGAGGAAGATGAGCTATGGGTGTTTAAAGAACTGACCCCGAGGATTTCAGTAAGGCACTCGTGTGATGTTTTGGATCTCTGACTTCAGAAGCCTTGAGTGGGAGTTGGAGAAATTAAGAACTCTGTACGAGAACATGTGCTTCCTAACAAAAGGGTCTTTCTCCTCCCCTCCTTCCACATTTCTCTCCCAATTCCAGCCCTGAACAGAGGTTCTCAGAACATATAAAGGATGAGAAGAATACAGAATTCCAGCAGAGGTTTATCCTCAAGAGGGATGATGCCAGCATGGACCGAGATGATAATCAGGTGAAGAATGGAAAGGGTTGGGTTGGCAGAGAAATCGCAGTAAGAGAAACTAGGAGGGGAGAATTTTAGAAATCCCTTAGCAAGTCCTTAGAACTCCGTAGACTGTAAAGTGTAATGAGCTCTACTGAGTTGACTCTGGCTTAACTCTTAACTGAAGACTGACCACACTCGTTGAGCTTAGGCCGCCTCTCCCCAGAGCGACTTGTGCTGGGGCTCGCTGGGCTTGCTCTCTCGGCCTGGTGCTCCCAGGTTCACTGTGACTTCTAACTCCCCATCTTTTGGGGACAAAAACAGGTCCCTCCCTGCCTCAGCCTCGATTCAGCTGGTGATTTCATTCTTTTTCTTCACGAATTAGGGATTTCTTTGGGTGTCCCAAAGCTACTTAACCCCATCTCCACTCCACTCTAGCTTAGGGCTGGCCCTGAATAGGCAAAGTTGTGATCGAATTTACCCAATTGTAAAGGTGTTTCTTGGCCCTTTCCACAACTCCCACATCTTTTCCCAGCTCCTTCCACCAAGGTGAGTGGGTCAGTTTGACTTCCGATGCCAGGGGCCTCGGGCAGAAGCCCTTTTGATCCATGCCCGTGGGACTACGAAGGGAAGCTCTGTCTGATCCCTCCACTAATGGGCCTGACTGGCCCTGGTTTCTAGCCCACCCTCTAGGTTCTTCAGGAGTTAGCTTTACTAGTTAGCTTTACTAGTCGCAGCTCAGGGCTTACACCCAGCCTGCTGCTCGCTTGGTCTCCAGAGGCGGTTAGCTGGGGAACCAGGGTTAATGCTTGAAGAGCATGGCTGGATAGAGCCAGCGTGAGCCCAGCTGGTTACTGATAATTGCAGTAATGTCTTAACTAGAGTAAAATGATTTTTCTTGGGATATTGTCTGGTCTTGAGATCAGGACTTTCCCTGCTTGCTACCTGAGTGCTGAGAAAGTGCCATGACCTGCTATGGACAAACACGCTGGGTCCGATTGAAAAGAATGAAACATACAAAGAGACAAGTTTGAGAAACGAGAACGAGCCTTTCCATCCTGATGCCCTTCTCTGCGTTTTTCCCAAAACCTTTTTCCTGTGGATCAGGAATTATTCAGGGCTCCGGGCATATCGGGGCGAGTGGCGTCTCTCTCTGTTGCCTCAGCTCGGGCTCGTTCGGAAACAGACGTGCTGTCTGCGCGGGCGGTGCTGCTGCTCCACAGGCCCTGATGTGGCAGAGTGTGTGCCGTGAGCGGGACTCCACTCGGAGACAAGCCGGACACTCTCCCTTTAACCCTCCGCACAGTGTGAATGGAGATGTTAGCCCACTGTAAACACAAGAAAACTGAGGCTAAGAGATGTGAAGCTCCTTGCCTGGAACCACATGTCAAAAAGACGCTCGCGAGGTTTTGCCTGACCGGGCGCTGGGCGGCTGGGCTCGGCCGAGGCCTGCGTGCACCTTGGGGGCGGGCTTTCTGGGAGGAGACTTGTGAAAGGACCTTAGTGGAACGTAGGCTGTTCAGACGAGCGAGACTGAATCTAGCCCAGGGAGATGCCCTCAAGTGCTGCCTGCCAGCCCTGGACGCCGGAAGCTGAGCAGAGCAGCCTAGAGCAGCCATGTTTCGGTTGCTTCCTCTGAAGCTTTCAAAGCCTGGACGGAAGGCCAGCGTCTTCTATAACCTATGACAGTCATTTCATAGATTGGCTCTGCCAGCCGGTCGCCTTCAAGGGCCACGCTCACACTCACAGACAGGAGGAGGTGGGCCGGCCCTTGAGGCCTGCCCAGCCCGCCCTTCTCGTCACCTCCCCCGTTTTCCAGAGATTGTAAAGCCCTGTCCTCCCATCCCTTTTCCCTTCCCGCCACGCTCTCCCTCGCCTCCTTCCCGCCATGCCTGGTCTGGCTGTCCTCTGCCGCCCCTTTCTGTACTACTCCCGTTTTCTCTCTTCCTGTTTGTGTTCTGTTCTCTTCTGTATTTCTGTAATTTCTCTCTTTCCCTCCCTCTGGTGACTGTACTCAAGATGATAGAAAAAACAGCTTGAGCTTTGAGTCTCCTTCGCCCCGAGGCCCCTTTGCTGAGCTCTGTGACTTGGGCCTTCAGGTGTGGCACTAGGGAGCTAAGGAGGGCACTGTCAAGAGCTACCTCTGTGAGGCTCTTTCCTGCATGTTGCTCTGCTAAATTCCTGTTTCTCCCCCTGTCTAGCTTCCACTTTTCCCTCGTTTTCCCGGCAAAGTAACATTTATTCCCTGAGCTGGTCTCGATCCTCCCCGACCGGAGTACTTGGTGACAGCAGGCACGCTACCCACCCCTTACAACTAGTACTTGTTCTTGCTACTCGGGGGGGGGGCGGCGAGGCCCGGCCATCCCGAGAAACGGCTCTCCCAAACCGCATGGTCACATGGACCCGTGACGTTGGTCCAACTCTGGAAAGTTTCTTTTTTTTTTTTTTTTTTTTCCGTTTTTTTGATGGCAACTATAAACTCTCCCGGTTTCTCTTCCTTGCTGGTGTGCAGTGAGCGTGCAGTACGAGGAGAACTTAACTAGCTTAATTCTGCTCATCGATCTAGATCAGAGTTCCATTGCAGGATGGAAGGAGGAGCAAGTCAATAGAAGAGAGAGAGGAGGAGTATCAAAGGGCCCGAGAGAGAATATTTGCCCGAGAGGTAAGTGTAGCTCCCAGAGTTGTCAGCCCACAGCTTTAGCTCATAATCTTTGGACTGTGAATGGAATGAACCCTCCATGAATGTTTTGTTGTGTTTTTGTTTTTGTTTTTGAACCAGTATCAGCCAGCCCCATGTTTGATCTCTGAAATTAGATGTGGCTTGTTGGAAAGCTGCTGCAGGTGTTTATTGTATTATTTTCAATACGTCTGCCTGTGGCACACAGAGGGGACAAGTGGAGTGGCTGAAATTGGTAGCTGTAACTAGACTGGCTACAGAAACTCCTTCGGCAGGGCTTTACGCAAGGGCCCTCACTCTTGCCTGTCCGCCTTCTTCTCGCTTCCCTTCGCCCTTCCGCTGCCGACGCTGGGTGCCGTGGCTTCTGTGTGGCAGTTAGTGCCCGCACGGCCCATGGCTCCATCTTGCTGGGCACATGCTGGTGATCGATAGGGCACAGGTCTGGCGCCCACTCTGAGTGACACTCGCACCTGCGCAGAGGGGCCACTCCCACCCCCGTCTCTCCCTGCAGGAAGTCTCTTTCTTCCTGTTGTTCTTACCTTGCTTCTGAGACGAGGACTGACTCCGTGGGCCAAGCGGGGACATGAGTCATTTTAGGCAGCTTTACTCTTAAGAACCGTGGGCCATATCAGATACACTTGGTACCCTGGTATTTCTTGGCCTTTGTCTACCAGACTGATGAGAGAAGTACAGCAGAATTTCAGGAAAGGCCATGGATAGACTTGAGAGGCGCTAACTTCCAGAAAACATGGTACACGGCTAGCAGCACATCCTAGAGTAGAACAACAAGGAAGAGCCAGCCTCCCGTCACTGTCACCTCAGGCAGCGTACGTAGGTGGATGTCACTCTCCTCCCGTGATTGTCTCGAGCTACCAGAAAACTGGATTTCTCCATGAGCCCGTTCCGTGTCTCTGGAGACCCCAGTGTTCCGAGGACAGATACCTCGTAAGTCTCCTAGCCCAGAGTTCAGGAAGGAATCTTCTTACCTGCTCTCGGTTACACGCCATTCGGAATCAGAGAACTCTGCCCTCCAGATTGCCCAGCCGCCCCCGGGGCGTCCTCTCCCGTGACCTGCAGATCCCATGGGGGTAGTGAGCAGAGGTGTTCGCCGGCCGGTGCCGGCGCCGTGGTGGACACGCACGGCTGGTGGGCGGCGAGGTACCAGCAGGCAGCAGCAGCGCACCCTCTCGGGCTGCCCAGCACGCGGCCC